ACTTGGCCAACAGAGTTGTTAGCCAAGAACAAAAGAATCGGAAGAATAATGGTGGATCCCCTGGCCCCACCCAAGGGGTGAGAGGGTGGAGTCTTTTCCTGGATTTGTCCTGCTCACTGTCTTTGTAGCGTAATGGGGCAGTCACATGACTCATCGGCCCATTGATATGATCCCCATATCAGGCTCTGTGGCTGAGGCTAATTTCGCGTGTGTCTGGTTGTCCGGGGAACGCCCTGTCTCGCCATGTTGTATTAGACATGGTGAGGACAGACCCCATTAAAAAATAGCAGAGCTGGAGTGTTCTCTGGAAGCCTGCTGGGGCAGACCATGCTGCAGAGTGCAGCAATGTTGGTGTCCTGAGCCCCAATGCCTTTTCCTCCCACTGTGGGCTGCAAGGCAAATTGTGCCCATGCTGTGCAGGCCAATATGAATTCCCCCCTCTGACGGCAGGATAGCATTTTTCCCCATGAAAAGATTCTGAATGATCTTCCCCTAGTTAGAGACCCTAGGTCCCTCATTCCTTGGGGAAGAGAGGCTGAACAGCTCAGCCAAATCTGCACCCTCAGGCCTGATCTCTCTCTACCTTCACCCCAAAGAGTCCCCGGCCAGCCCACCCTTGCCACTCACTGTATAATCTACTGTCCTTAGGAAACCCATGCCTTTGCTCCTCTGCTAGAGCTCTGTTGGCTTCTGGTTGCCTATCCTAGTAACCTCTGACCCTCCCTCTCCCTGACCTGCAGGCTCCATGTCACATGTCACCCCCTCCTCCAGTGAACACCTTCACTTCCAAGATTTTCCCACTTGTCTCACGCTGAGCGAACTGAATGGAAGTCATGGCAATCACAGTTAATGTGTTAGAGGTTTCACAGTTGCTAGCTCGCTTCTCACATGGTCGTGCTAACCCCTTGAAGGCGCTTCTCCATCTCTGTGTGTAAACAGGGAGTCTGGGGCACACAGTGGCTAATTGTCCCATAGCTAGGAAGTAGTGAAGCCAAGACCGGAACTCAGGCATCGCTGACTCCTTCTGCCACAGCTCCCACCGTGACCATATCCTGCATTGTCCCTTGGAGGGAAGTGTCTATCGCCCTTACTAATGTCCAGGGCACACTAGTGAGGGCTACTAGTTAATAATATAGTCTCACATCATTATCAACACCTGCCTATGAGGAGCACAGCGAAAACTTCACCATTATTCTGCATTCATGGTCCGTCTTTTCTTTTCTTTTTTTTCTTACTTGGCAAGAACTTGAAGTTATTTACTATCCGGAAAGAGCCTTGAACTTGAAGTGAGACAAATACACAGCTTACCTAGCTTTGACCAGCCAGCTTTGGATAAGTCACTTCACCAAGTCGAGTCCCGGTTTCCTCCTCTGTACACTAAGGAGCCTGTTGTGGGTGACTCTGTCAGGGAGTCTGTAAAATGGGGGTGGTACCGCATTGCCACAAGTTCTGGGGAAGCTCTAGTCACCCATCCATGTGGCTAGTGACTATGTACATATATTCTGTGTGCATTATATATGTGCATATAATAGGATAAAGGAGAAAATCCATGCATTATCAGTTTACAGCGTTACACCATAGGCATATATCTGTGCATGCGCACATCTAAATACATGTATCAAGTACCTGCTGTGTACTGTGTCTTTTTCTCAGCACTGGGTATCTGGAATGAATACGATGACACCTCTACCATCACAGGGGAGATCCTGAAAGTAACCAGTCTCTAAGACCAAGCATAGCTCAAGACCCAGCCATAACACAGAAGGGACAGGGAAGTCGGACCAGGCGGCTGGCTTAGCTCCTTCTCTGTTGCTGTGCTGAATACTGTTAAGGAGCAACCTCGGGGAGAAAGGGTCTGTTCTATGCAGTTCCAGGCATAGTACACCATGGTGGGGAAATCAAGGCAGCAGAGTTTGGAGCAGCTCACCTTGGTGCCTGCAGTCAGAGAAAGAGAACCATGAACGCTCGCCTGCTTCTGTTCAGCCCCTGCCCTCCACTTTCACACTCCAGGACGGACCCCTGGGATTTCCCCTATTGAGGAAACCTTTGCCTCTTAGAACCCTTGACATTTTGTTCCTGGGTCCTCAGTCCTCAGCGCTGCCTGTGGATGCAAATGTCTAAGACAGTTCTTCCTGAGCTCAGATCCACTTTGTGCTGTTTTTGTAAACATGGCTTCAGCCTAAGGTTTATCCTGCCGATAAATAGCGTTGGGCTAAAGTTTTTGACAGCCAGGTCTCTAGACTACAGCAAGCAGAAGAAAGACTGGCCAGTTGCTTTCTAGGACCGCCTTTTTCTCAGTGCAGCTTCATTGTCTGTACAGACCACTTCCGCTTTCTTTGAGTGTGTGTGTGTGTGTGTGTGTGTGTGTGTGTGTGTGTGTATAGTATGTATGTGGTACATATGTGTGTATATACATAGACTTTTGTAATATATATATAATATGTAATATAATATATATATACTTTTGTAATATAATTCCATCACCCCAACTCCTCTGTTACCCCCAGACCCTCCCCAACTTGCCCCCCTTCTCACCTTCATGCCCTTGTGTCCTCTTTTTTCTCTTTTGTATACCGCTGTGTCCAGTTCTTGCAGCCTTATGGGATATTTATGGATCTTTTCGGCTAGCACTCTTGTGGGTAACCTTAGCTGTGCCGAGCTCTTGAGCAGCACAGCCATGCCAGCATTTCACCGCTCTCCTCCCCAACGTCGAGCTCTTTCTGCCCCCTCTTCCGTGATGTTCCCTGGATGGAGCTTTAGCTGTCACCCCTGTCATGTGCTCAGGGATGGACCTGCAGAACTCTCCTTCGCAAGCTCTAGACCACTGTGGCTTGTGAAAGCCTCCATGTCTGGTTTCTACCAGCTTCCACAGAGCCCGAGACTGGAGTGTTTTTGTTTGTTTCTTTCTTTCTTTGTTTTTTCCTTCCCTTCACAGCTTCTAACTTGGACTGTTCCTTGAGAGAGAAATGCTTTTTCTCTTGGATCATTCAAAGGCAGGGAACCTGAATTTCTGTTTCTGAGTACGAAGCAGCCTTTACTGTCTCTTCATGAGATGGGTATTCTATGCAGACTTACCTCCTGGAATGTCTTGATCCAACTGAGATTCTCTTCCTTACAGTCAAAGACACTGGATGTGTATGAACCCATAGATGGGACCTTCATGCTGCTGACACCCAAGGCCCCGGGACTGGGGCTGCTGACTGGGGGGAGAGGAGAGCAGGGTGGATGGGTCAAGCCCTGTGTAGTGATGCTTTCCCCTGTGGCATCGCGATGCCTCCCTACCCCAGGACCCTGCAGCTCTGGGTTTCAAGCCACTCACCTCTGATGTTTACTTGTTGTCGACTTGACTCTCGAGAAATCACTGTGGCAACAGGATCATTTTGCGTCATGCAGACAATGTCAGAGTCTCAAAAACTGGAGCGTTTTAAGGCAGGATTCCAACCTCATTACTGCAGGGAATAAAATTCCACCAAGGTGAAGTGTCCTTTCTCAGAACTCAAATCTCCCTCAGCACGACTTTTCTTTCCCCTTTGTTTTTGAAACTAAGCAATTACTTTTTTTTTTAGGGGAAAAAATGTGCTAATGCACAAGACTCTCTTTTTTTCCCCTTTCATTTATTTGAAATTGAACTTAACAAAGTCGGTTCTGAGCAAGCACTATATATGAGTAATGCTTTTTGTCCGTAAAGAGCATTGGCTCAAACGGTAAGGGAGTGCCGGCTCTTGCTCTGCTTTGTGTGAGCGCCCACAATGACAAAGCGCTCGTGTCAGGGTGGATAATGAAACTATAAATTGTTTTCATGAATGCTTTGAATTTGGTCTTTTATGGGGAAAATTCAAAAGGTATTTAGTGCCACATTTCACACATGTGAGTAACGCCAGGTGGTGTAATAGATCCGGTAAAAGCAGAATCTTCTCTGAGCTCACATGGGCCACTGTGGTGGGACTGTTGACTGGGCCTCATTCCAGGAGGGAGATGCGGAGACACACAATGTTGTTGCTTGAAGGCGGGAGTTCCAGCCAGCACTGCCCGGCTGTTGGGAGAATCCAGAGTGGGGCAAAAATACCGACTTCTGAAGTTGGTCTCTGGTGATGGATGGGTGCGTGTGTTTGATCCTTGAAGAGGTTTTACAGATCAGCGCCGAGTTAGTGAACAAATTCTCCAGAGGAAAATGACTGCTTGGTTTCATGGGTGGGAAGGATCGAGTGAAATGATTTATGGCACAAAGAGATGATTTTTCATAATATTTGGGGTTATTGCTATAATCGAGAACATACTGACTTATCCTCAAAAATTTAGAAAAAAACCCCAGAAAAGCACAAGGAAAAATTTTAAAATTTGAGGGATAGGAATTACTAGCAAGAAATGATTCCTATCAATATTTATAAATTTTTCATTAAAGATGTTTGTGCGTATTGCTTTGTAAAATTTTAATAAAAATTCATGTAATTTTATGTGGATGGATAAGTATATATGTCATACTAGATAAATCTGGAATCCAGGCATCTATTTATCCTTATATGTAATTTTAAAAATAGTTCTACTTTATTATTATCATAAGCATGTGTATGTTGTGTGTATATCTGTGTGTGTGTGTGTGTGCGTGCGTGCACGTGCACCATAGTACATGTCTAGAGTCAGTGGAGGAAGTTGAGAATTGGTTCTCTCATTGCACTATGGGTTCAAAAATCAGACTCAGGTCGTTAAGTGCTGTGACCTGCTAAGCCGTCTTGCTGGCTTATAGTTCTATTTCTTAACTTATTTGCAAATACACGATTGTATCTGCCCAAGTTCGTGAACGTTCACAGACAGCTAAGGTTTGACTTTGTCTTGAGAGAACTGTGTCAGGTCATGTGGCAACTGTTCTGTACATATGCCACTGGGAAGTGTCTAAAAGTGTGATCCCGAGCCATGAAGGGGGAGGGGAGGGTGTGGAGCACAATGCCCTGGGGCTGTAAAGCCCACTTGCCATTTCTGACCAGTGGTCCTTTGTTCTGCAGTACCTGGTGTGTAAGCGGAAGCTGGAGAGCAAGAAGGAGGCCCTGCTGATCCTCTCCAAGGAGCTGGATACCTGCCAGCAGGAGAGGGACCAGTACAAACTCATGGCTAATCAGCTGCGGGAGCGGCACCAGTCCCTGAAGAAGAAGTATCGGGAGCTGATTGTAAGTCTGGCACCGGAGGGATATCTGGTCCCCTCTGCAAAGACCGGAAAAGGGGCTGTGGTGATATCCTCTTTTCAAAAGCCACCCCTTGCCAACAGTTCACCAGGTAGCCAGGTGTATGCCTGGAGCCCTAGCTTGGGAGGTGGAGGCAGGGGGATTAGGAATTCAAGGCCTTCCTTGGCTACCTAGTGGGTGAGAGGCTTGACAACCTGTCCCAAGCAAGCAAACAAGCAAGCAACAACAAAAAAGCCCAAATCAAACCAAACCAAAGTTTTAAAGTAGAAACGTGCACACCACCTGTTTCCGCTACAATCTGCTCCACATGCATGCAGTTCCAGGCTGCTAGACCTAACACATGTGAAGATGCTCATATCCATGTGTGTTTACTGTGGCTGTTTCCTTATTATTTTATTATGGACTTTCCTTGTTATTTTAAAGAGTATTAATATCTTAAATTTGTGCCAGTACAGAGGCTGCCAGCTCCACATGGCTCTCCAACTTAACTGAGCTAATTGGCATTAAAGAAAATAAGAAACTCAGTCCCTCATTGTCCTGTCCCATCCCATGGGCCCAAGCCCCACAGGTGGCTGGTGGCTGCTGTAAGGCGAGGGTTGCACGCTCCCGTGGTGGCTGCTGTTCTGTTCTCGCTCAGCATGGGGTTCTGGACAGCATGTGCCAATGCTGTCTAAAGTATGGTCTCTTTACCCAGCACTTGACAGCAAAGGCTTCCTAGGCCTTGTAAACAGGCTGACATTACCTATGTTAGCCAGGGTTGTCCTAGAGAAAGAGAGCTTATATAATGAACACACACACACACGTGTCTGTGTGTTCCTGTGCATGTGTGTTTACATGTGTGTATGTATGTATACATGTGTGTTTTCATATGTGTGCATGTTTATGTGTATATGTGTACTTGTGATTGTGTCTGTATGCATGCACACATCTGTGCGTATATGCAATATGTTTATATATGTGTGTATGTATATGCATTTATATGTGTGTGCATGTGTATTTGTACATGCATGTGCCTGTATGTGTGTATTCATGCATGTTTATGTGTGTATGCACACATGCATGTGTGTGCATGTGTTTATGTCTGTGTTCATATCAGTCACTATTCTTTTTATTCTATTTCAAAGAACTTTAACCAAATGAATAACTATTTCAGTTTTACGCTCTGCTTGAAAGTAATTTTGATCCATCTAGATTTCCCTTTTAGAAGCATCATTTTGGAGAGTTCGTGTTTGGTCTTGAGCTGACTCTCTGGGGTCCCCATCAAGTGGTAGTTATTTTTAAAGCATTGTCAAGCTTGCTCTCTCACCTTACCAGCTGCATGGCTGGTGGGGATTGGTCTGAGTTTAGATTCACATCGGCCCAACTGAGGGTGGAGATTCTGTGGTGAGTCTGGGTTTATTCTTGGGAAGAAGTAAAATGTTGTATGTGTTTCTTTGTAGGATGGAGACCCATCACTTCCCCCTGAAAAGAGGAAGCAGGTAAGATTTCTTCTTGATATCAGGCAACTCTCACATCAAGGTGACCATTACCTTGACACAATCCAAAGAATTGGGAAGCCCCAACTGTCTAGAGCAAAATTCCTTTTTAAGTTTTCCTGCAATCTTTTCAGGTGCTGGGGGATGTGGCTGTAAGAGGGACCGGGAGAGGCAGAAGGGATACTGAGCACAGCCCAGCAAGATGTGGGGAGACACCAGCTGACTGAGCCCCGGGACTCTGGGGGAATTCTCTTGAGAAGCGGGGAACTGAGTGATCGGGCTCCTTACTTTGGAGGAGGCATGCTGACTTTTAAACATGTCTCCTATCAAAACTCCCGAGCTGTTTGCTTACTTTTCTCTGCATGGTGGCCAACCCTGTCTTACCTCCTTTTGTGTACATGTGGCTGTTCCACTGGGCTTCCTGTACAGACCGGTGTCTGCCCTACGTGATCCCGATTCTTCACCTGTGCTGTGCTTTCCATGTCTGTTCATCCTTGTGCCTTAGTTCCTTCTGTTCAAATGGTTCGTATTTGTTACTTTTTTCAGTTTTTTTAAAACTGAGAAATATTTTTATCAAGTCTTCCTGTTCACATACAGATCTTATTGGAATTTTCTGAAAGTTGTTTCATTAAATTGCTACAAGTGAGCATCCAAATTTGTTGGGTGACAAAAGGGGGTATCTCAATTTAATTTCTTTAAAAATTGTTTTTAAGTTGCTGGTTAACAGTAAATTGATTAAATCTGTCAATTTATGAGTTAATTTGAACCCCCCTCCCCCCGTGTGTGTATGAAAAGCAGTGATCTTTTTCCTAAGACAGTTTTCTTGGACCTTCCCTTAACTTTGCAGTTTTTCTAATTTGCCTCATGCTGTGTGTTAGATGTGCCCAGGTGGTGGCGATGTTAGTGGTGGCACGTTCTGTTCTGGCAGGCCTCTTCACCTGAGCAGGACTTCAGAACCGGTGGGCATAAACCAGGACACAGACAGCAACCATATGCCCTGGGCTGTAACATCAGCATCCTGTGGTCATAACTGACGGGTGTCAGTGAACACAGTTGACTGCTAATGTGCAAATACTGCACATAAAACTCCTGGGTTCATTAGCTCAAGATATCTGATGCTGGTGAACAGTGTCAAACACACACACACACACACACTCATTCATATGCACAGTCACACATACACACGTTCTCACTCGCACACATGCATGCATACGCGTGCATGCACATGTGCACACACACACACACACACACACACACACACACACACACACAACTTTCATCCGTAAATAGCACTGCCGTCCACACCCACCTGTCTATGCTGCTGGCTCATACACTCCTTTCTGCTCTATGTGACTAGTTTATAAAGCTCCATGTTTGATCTAGTCTAATTTTTCTGTGTGGCTAATTGATGTTTTTTTCTAAACAAAATTACATGGGAGTTTATCATTACTGTTTAAAAACTGAAATCCTTAATCTTGGCTTGCTGGGTGTTTTCGATAGCTGTAGGCAGTCATCTTCCCTGTGATTTCAGAGTTTGTTAGTATTCATGAAGGAGTTTTCCAGTTCTAAGTGCATTCGTATTCTGTGACTTTATAATGACATATTTACATTGACTGAGGAGAATCTGATGAATTCCAGTAAGTCTGTCAAGCTGCGTCCTTACTGTTCTAAAAATACAAGTTCAAGGTGCCAAACATGAGCATTGTGGCTTTTAATATGGTGCTTAGTTCCCTTCCCTTTGGGGATTAATATGATGCTGAAGCTTGGGCTGAGCATCCTTCCTGCCCGGCGAGGAGATACAGGATGGGGTGCAAATAAGAGAATTCCGAGCTGTAGATCTGGTCAAAGATGTGATGGCCTTGAGGAACCAGAGTCTCTGAGCTGGTGCAGTCAAAGGGCTATGTGACCGGCAGTCTCCTGAGGTTAACAGTACCGTTTCTCTCCTCTGAGGCATATTTAGCAAATAAAAATGCAGGGTACCCAGGTAGACTTGAAGTCAGATAGCCAATGAATGCTCTTAGGATAAAAACACATGCCATGCAATGTTGGGGACACACATACGAAAGTCTAAGTCAACGTTACCTGAAGTTCAAGCTCATCTCACCTGAGAACTCTATTTTTGTGGCCACTGTGAGGACTCCTTCCTCTTGTAGTCAGCTTCCTTCGACGGCTGCTGCCCCTGAGCAGGAGAGGTGGGATGCCCAAAGGTCAAGCCCTTTCCTCTAGGTAGACCCATGAAGGCTATTTCCCATTCTTGGTCTAACCCCCAAGGGTTATTATGCTCTTGGCTTAGGTTGGTCATCTGGGATGGAAGGGCCATTAGGGGTCAGCAATGATGTGCTCTAGAATGTGTGGCCTCAAGAAGGCACCTCTGGGTACCTCAGCATTCTCCTCCATAGAATAAGATAAATGTGATGCCTACTGTGTGGAGTGTCCATGGGGAGGCAGAGGATATGGTACAGGTAGATTGCTCAGTGCAGTGCCTGGCACAGGTGAGCTTTAGCGAAGGTCTCTTCTTCTCCTCTTTTCCTCCTCCTCTTTTCTTTCTTCCTCTGCCTATTTTTCCTTCTCTCCTTCTTCTGTTTTTCTCTCTTCCTCCCTCTCTTCCTCCTCCATGTAAATAAAAGTCATTCTCTCCTAAAATGCTAACCGTGCATGACTTTTAGCTCTCTACAGAATATGATGTCCTTCTTAAAGCCTTCTGATTGCATTTGTAGTTCCAAGTAGTTTTGGCTAAAGAAATGGTTCCTGGCTTTTAGGAGCCTCCCTAGAGTAGTTGTTTGTCCAGTACTCATGAGAGGCCAAAAGGCAACTGTCCTGGGGAGTAGGGAGATCAGCTTGAGTGGCCCTAGGTCTACCCTCCATGCCAACTCTGTTGCTTAGGCCACTAATGACATTGGAACTATGAACCCTACCCCTTTAACCTTGAGAAAAGGGCAGTTCCCTGGGTCTCAGGGAAGAGCATAGGCCAGGATTGGCCTAGGGCCCATTTCAGGTTATACAGGCTGGGTTAGGCTTTCTGCAGAGGTGAGGTGGCTCCCACTGCATCCATGAGATGGGTGCTGATGGACAGTGTCATGGTCCCCTGCTTTATGTGCCTTACTGAAATGATCTAGGAATAGCATATACTAAACATAGTCAGCATTCCTGTTCATCCATTCTCACTCACTCTTCCAGGCCCTGTGGGTGACCTCATTTAGCTCCTTCCCAATCAACCAAGTCAGGCTGTGGTTATGGTCAGTGCTGTCTGACCAGGGCGGAACTGGAAGCTTATGGAGGTCAAGGATGTAGAAGTCATGTGACTAGCTGGCCAGGAAGTAGGGCTTGAGCACTAACTTGTATTCCAGCTGCTGGTGGTGACTACTGGGTCTCAGGAAGACCTTAATGAGCACTTTGCATGCGCCCGGTGCTTATTTTGGCGGGAAGGATCTGGGGTGAAAAGAGGCAGAGCAAAGCCATTGACTTGTTGGACTTGGTGCTGTCAAATTCACTGCTCTTTGACCTCACCTCTTGTCCCGGCATCAGCCCCTCACTTCAAGGTATCTTGGTATGAATGACCAATAATGCAGCCATTATTAATTCTAATGGTGTTACTGTGAATAAGTCAGTGGACAAAGTCATTAAATATAGGCTGGCAGACAGTAACTGCAGAGGAGAGAAAACTGTGGTCCAAAGGTAGGTTCTGGGTGCGCAAATTAGGGGGCTAAGTAGTATTGAGGAATAGTCTTGGTATTAGGAAGAAGGCCTTTTCCCTTTGAAATATTTAAAAATTTTGTTTCCTGTTAGTCCTTAGGCCAGTGAATGATTTTGAGTTGTCATTTTAAAGTCCCTCTATCTCAACCCGTTCAGAGCGGGGAGGAACACACAGTTGCGTTTTAGATCCTGGTTCCAAAATGATTTCCTATTTAGCCCAAACCAGACAGTTTGTGTGCTTATAAGGGGAGGCATGCTCATTTCCTGAGCTGCTTTGTGAGCAGGAAGTGGGGGAGGCACACCCCTGACCTGGTGCCCCCAAACCTACATGGCATATTGATCCCAGATGTGAGCCAGAAGGAGGAGTGTTTACCCCTCCAGCTGCAAAGTGAATGCACCTGGCATGAACAGATGGCGCTGAACCAGACCCGACTGCCAAGTTAATAGAGGCAGCATGGAGGTCACAAGATGTGCACACTGCAGAAGAAGGTGCTCATTTTGGTTCTTGCTGTCCCATTGTCCTTATGTCTGTGACAGCTATCCCTGACTTGGAAGTACCTCCCTAGGCTCTTGCCTATTCATTTCTTGAATGAGAGATGCTGTGATCATACCTTGTCATACCTTCTCTATTTTTTCAATTCATAGAACCAGTGCATCTCATCCTTTTGAGGATCAGAGATGACTGTACAAACATGTCCAAAGCCATGGGCCCTCACTCTAGAAGAAGCCCATGTGCTTGTCACAGAAACTTTCCTACGGCTTCACAGAGTCATAGATCCTTTACAGCCTACCTGTGACTCCTTGGCATCCCACAGGTTGCATGTTAGGAGCTGTAAATATATTGAGGGTTCTTCGTATATTTTGATATAAAATAGTAGCATAACATTAGTTATCATAGTGCTGTGTGCTTTCTAAGAAACCATAGAGATGTTCATGCCTGTGTTTGTAAGGCCTGCTGTGGTCTGAGGTCTTGCTGGTGAGGTGCACCTTACATAAAGGCAATGCCACGGGCTTAGATAATATTTTCCAGTCCAGTGAATTCAAGTATAATCTTTTGCTGGATGGCTGACCCTAGGCAAGCCGCATAACCTTTCTGAGCCACCATTGCCTCCTCATCAAAATGGAGATTCTAATGAGACATAGTCATGAAGTTCTTTTGAGCAACTTCTTCAGGAGGGCTTCTAAGTGCCGTATTAGTCAGGGTTCTCCAGAGGAACAGAACATGTAGAATGAGTCTCTATAACAATAATATATCAATAATCAAAATACTTGGGAGTTATCCTGGGAGTTACCAAGAAGAAACAAAATCA